TGTCTGTGTTTCAAGGTGTCTTTCTTATGTCCCGGTGTCTGTGTGTCTCTGGGTCTGTGTATATTTCAGTGTCTGTGTGTTTTAGTGTTAGTGCGTCTGTGCATTCTAGTGGCAGCATGTTGCATTGTGTTTCAAATTTCAATATTCTGTGCATTTCACTGTCTGCCTGTGTGTGTATGTGTGAGTATGTCCATGTCTGTATGTCCCAGTGTCTGTGTATGCAGTGTTTTTCACCCCAGTGTCTGTATGTCTTAGTAATTGAAGTTACTCAGTATCTTCAGTATCTGTGTATCTCAGTATCTGTGTTTGTCCCAGTATCTGTGTTTCTCAGATTCTGCACATCCCATTTCCTGTTTACTCTAGTTTCTATAAATTTCAGTGTTTGTGTGTTCCAGTGACTGTGTGTTCCAAGAGTAAACATGTTGTTGTGTTTCAGTGCTTTTGTGTGCCTTGGTACCTGTTCTCTAGTTTCTGTGCGTTTGTTTCTGCATATCACAGTGTTTGTATGTCCCAGTGTTTGTGTATGCCAATGTCTGTGTGTTCTAGTAACTGTATATTCCATGTCTGAATATTTTCCAGTGTCCGTGTGTCTCAGTTTCTGAGTACCCCAGCATTTGTGTGTTTTCGGTATCTGTGTGCCACAATGTCTGTATGTTTTGGTCTGTTCATCTCAGTGTCTGTATATCCCGCTGGTTGTTTGTCTCAGTGTCTGTGCAGCAGTGTCTTTTTTCCCCAGAGTCTGAGTGTCCTGGTGACTGTATCCTTCAGTGTCTCTCTACAGCCAAGTGTCTGTGTCTCAGGGGCTATGTCTCAGTGTCTATATTCCCAAGTGTATGTGTGTCTCAATGTTTATGTATTCCATTGTTTGTGTACTCCAACATCTGTAAGTTCCAATTTCTGTCTTTGTCTCTTATTGTGCACCAGTGCCTGTGTGCCTCAGTTAAGGGTCTCAGTGCCTACTTTTGGTGTCTGTGTGTCCCTGTGATTGTGTGTCACAATGTCTAGCTACTTCCCAGTGTCTGTAGGTCACAGTCTCTCTATACTCTAATGCCTGGGTGTCCCAGTATCTGTTTATGTCCTAATGGCTGTATGTCTTGTGTCTGTGTGTCTTGGTGTCTGCTTATGAAGCTGAGGAATACAGTATCTGTGTTCCTCAGCTTCTATATGTCCCAGTATTTGTGTACCTGGTGACCATTGCATGTTGCATCGTGTCTCTTAGTTTCAGTGCTTCTGTGCACTAGTATCTGTGTACCTCTGTATCTGTATCCCAGTGTCTGTGTGTCAGAACATATGTTTGCCCTAGTGTCTATATGATCTAGTTCTGTGCAGTCCTATGTCTGTATGTGCTACTGTTTATATATGCTTTGGTGACTGTATGTCTCAGTGTGTGTGTTCCAGTTTTTGTGTGTCTCAGTGCCAGGGACTCACCAACCCAGGACACATGGAAGGCATATGCAGGTTTATTTACACACAGATCCTGGAACACAGAGGCTCATAGCACCCAAACACACTCATACAGAGACTCAGAGATACATGTATATGTGTGTGTATTTCCCAGTGTTTGCTTGTTCCACTCTTTGTGAGTCCCAGTATCTGTGTATTTCAGTGTTTTTTTTAATGGCCTTGTGACTGTGGGTCTTAGGGTCTATGTCAGCACATTACTGTCTCTGAGCTTCAGTTTTTGTGTGCTTCAGTCTCTGTACTCCAGTTCCTGTGTCCCAGTGACATGTGTTCCCAGATTCTGTGTATCCCAGTGTCTGTGTGTATCAGTACCTGTGTGCCAGTGTTCTTGTGTGTTCTGGCATCTATTCTAGTGTCTATGTGTGCTATGTATGAGTACATGCCAGTGTCTTTGTGTGTTTTAGTGGGTACCAATGTTTCCCAATGGCTGCATGCATCTTAAGTTCTGGATGGCACATATCTGGCTGTATTCCAGTGTTTACATATTTTAGTTTCTCCAGGTTTATGTGTCCCAGTGTCTTTGTGTTCTGATGTCTGTGATTTCTACTGTATATTGTTGTCCAGTATCCAAATGTCCTTGCTTCTCTGTAAGCCCGTGTTCCATTCTTTATGTATCCCTATGTTGTACATCTTATTAGTCTCTGTTTCAGTGTCTTTATATTTCTGTTTTTGGGTGTCCCTGAGTCTTTATTCCCTTGCTCCTGTCCTTCATTCTGTGTGTCCCTGATCTCTGTGTTTTAGTGTCTATTCATCCTTGTACTTGAGTTTTTAAAAAATATCCTGAACCTCTGTTATATTGTTTATATCTCTCTGTCTCTGTCTCTCTGTGTGTCTGTGGATCTCTACATCTTAGTGTCTGGGCACCCAGTGAGCCTCTATGTTTGAGTGTTTGCATGTCCCTTTTTCTGTGCGTCACTAAGATTTTGCATGTTCTTGTCCTGATTCTTTACATGCATCCCTGAGCCAGCATGTCCCTGAATCTTTACATGTTCCTACGTCTTTGCATCTTATTTAGTGTCTGTATATTTATATGTCTGGGTGCCCATGAGCCTCTGTGTGTTCCCATGAGTGCTTGTGTGTTCCTATCTCTGGGCATCCTTATGTCTTTGCATGTCCTTGGACCTTTGTGATCCAGTGTCAATGTGTCTCTGAGTCTCTGTATTCTTGTGTCTGAGTCTCTGTGTTACAGGATCTATGTGTTAATAAATCTGCATATGGCTGTTTTTATGTGTCCTGTGTTGGTGAGTCCCTAAGCCTGTGCATCTCTGGAGCTTTGCTCTCCATGTCTGTGCCTTTGTCTATATTTTGGCATTTATCCTCTTCTTCATCCATTTCCCCCAGATTTTGTCAATGTCTCTGTATTTTGTTTCTTGATGCCACTGTCACTGTGTCTTAAATTGTTCTGCGACTTTTTTTTTTCAGTCTCTGGGTATTTCTGAATTCCTATGACTATGCTCCTGTTTCTATTGGTTTGTTTGTCAGGGTGTCTCTCTGATTTTTTTTCTGTCTCACTCTGTCCTTAGTTTTGATCTAACTTACTTCCTCTGTGTCCCTGCCTCTCTGTTTGTGTCTGGTGTTTGGATCCATGTCTTTTCATCTTTGAGCCACTATCTCTGTGTTCCTGGGTCTGATTCACTGTCCTTATCCTTTAATTTGTGGCCTTGATTGCCTGTTTGCATGCCATTATTTCTCGTGCTCCCAGGTGTATCTTGATTCTATGCCTCCCCCCCCCGTTTCTCTGGGTAGATTTCCTTGTCATTGTGTTTCTGCCCAGTTGCTTATGTTCTGTGTCGGTTTCTGTGTGTTTAGGTTTCTCTGCTCTTGTCTCTATCTTCCTAGACACATCCCTGTGTTTCTGTCCCTGAGTCTAGCTTGTGTCGATGAGACTATGGGTTCACATCCAAATGTCTACTTGTTCTAGGGTATCTGTCTCTTAATTCCTATGTCCCTGTCACTATGTTACAATGTCCCTCATTGTACCTGGTTTTTCACCTTGCCTATCCTTATGTCTTTGTTTCCTAGCCTGATCCCTATCTCTTTGCTTATCAAGTGTCTGAGTACCCATGTCTTTGTCTCTGAATCTGTGAACATGAGTCTATCTATGCACTTGTCTCACTCTTAGCGTGTCTTCTGCCTACGTCCTTATCTTTTTCACCAAGTCTGGGCCTGTGTAATATCCTTGTTTCTACATCCTTGTATTGTCTCTATTCCTGTGTTTCTGTGTTCTCCTCCCACCCCCCCTATGTCTGCAAGTCAGCATGTTAGTGTAACTCTGTGTTTCTACTTGTCTGTCCTTCATATCTTGGACTGTGGTCCTGACCAGTGTCTCTCTGGTAACCTGTGTCCCTGTGTCTCTGTGTGTCTTGATTCCTCTGCTACTGTGCTTGGATCTTTGTATATATCTATCTTTTAGTTTGTATGTTTTTGTGTCTCCAGATTGGTTATTGTCTGTCTGTACCTGAGTGACTTTGTTTTTGTCTCCTTGCCTCTTTGTAACAGGGACAGTAACTCAAAACCATGAAGACACAGAGACCCAGCAAGAGAACATCTCCTTTTTCTCTGAGTTTATGTCCTCGATGTTACCACTTTGGCTCCCTGTCTCCTTCTTTGTATGTCTGTGTGTCTTGATGTCCGTGTTTCTTCATTTTTGGAAACACTGTGCCTTGTGTTTCCATAAGTCTTTTTCTCTCTGTCTCTCCATCCATGTCTGTGACCTTGTTGTTGTCTTTCTGGATGCAATCATGTGTCTTTGGTAGTGAGTATATATACATGTGTGTCTACTGCTGGGTCATGGGATCCTTTTCTGTTCATTCATTCATTCAGCAAACATTTACTAAGCACCTGTTATGTACTGGGGATACATAGATGATTCAGAAAAGGTTCTTGCTCTCAAATAGCACACAGTCTAAGTCAGGGATCCACATAAGTAAATAGATAATTACCACACAGTATGATAAGTGCTGTGAGCTTGGAGAGGGTGGGGTGGGTTGTGGGAATACAGAGGAAAGGACAAAACTCAATCTAGGGGAGAGGTCAGGGAAGGCCTCCTAGAGGAGGTGACAACTAGGACTTAAAGGATTAATTAAATGTACCTATATGAAGCAAAGGAAAATTGTCCTATGCATAAGGAAAAGCACATGTAAAGGTCCAGCAGTAGGAGAGAGAAAGGCTTGTTAGGGAAACCTGAAAACCTTAAATATGCCATGAGAGCTAGGGAAGATTGTGAGCAGAACTGTGACTCAGTCAGTTTTTTGTTTTAAGACTTCTGGGGCTGGAGAGGAGCATGGATTTGAAGGGAGTAGAGACTGGAGACAAGAAAGAATACGAAGAAGCAAGAGTCCCTAAGCCTCTAGACTCACAAGTCTACATGTCTATTTACTTGTTGCACTCTTGTGTATGTGTCCCTTAGCACACATGTGAGTGTATATGTGTTCCTCTGTGTGCTTCTATGTTACTAGGTCTTTGTCCTTGGCTCACTCCATGTCCTGGTCTTTGAATCTTCTAAATTCCGGTCTCCTGGCTTTGGAGTTCAGGAACCATCACAGGACATAGGTGAGGTAGGGGTGGCCAAGCAGCTGCTCTACATGAGAGCGCTTCACCAGCCAGCAGGGAGCCCAGCGGGGTAGCAGCCTTGGTGAGTCCTTCATCAGCCTCTTGCGTAGAACCACAGGCACATCTGGGCCATGGTGCCTCTGCAGGCATGGCCCCATAGGCCCTGTCACCAGTCGGAGGTCTGCATGCTGGAATTGCCCTGAGGGAGAGAGATGCAGGGCTGGTCAGGGCAGAGACCCAAGCCCCTGCTCAGAGCGCTGCCAGGAGCCTAAAGTAAGAAATCCAGAAGGAAATGTGGGAAAGAGGAGGGACAGCAAAGGACTAGAGGGGAGAAGAGGCTGAGCACTGTGGGAAATGTGCAAGATTCAGATGGGAAAGAAATGTAGTATGGAAGTAGGGAGCCAAAGTGGATGAGATAGAAGAGGAAGGGGGACAGCCAGGCCTGAAGGAGAAGACAGATTGGAGGGAAGGACAGGAGTGGAGTGGGGAGGTCCAAAGGAGGTGAAAATATCTGGTCAACCCTCTGTCACTTCCCAGACACTTTGGTTTTGGCCTCTGCCTCTGGTTTTGCCAGTATCTACTCACCTATGGTCTACTGGCTTCCTGCAATCCACCTTCACAGAAGCCTCCAGAGGGATCTTTGCAATACCCAGGTCTAACTGTGTCTTTCCTCTGCTTATAACCTTTAATGACTCCTTGCTGCTCTCAATATGAAGCCAAATTCCTCATCCTGGCATTCAGCTCTGACCAATCAAGCTCCATCTCCTACAACCTCTATTCTTTTCCTCCACACTTTTGCTCATAGATTTCCATTTCAATTTCGGACTCAGCATAGGTGGAATTCCCTTCTCCAGGAGGTCTTTCTTGAGCTCCAAGGCCTGGAAAGATCCCTCATTTTGCATTTCTCTAGCTTCCTAGGCTGTTTTCTGTCTAGCAATAATTCTTCCCTGTGATCACTATCCATGTCTGTGTCTGTTCTCTCCCCAGACCAGGAGCTCCCTAGGGCAGAGTCTGGCTCTGGTTCCTCTTCATGTTGGGAGTATAGATGTCTTTCACCCTTGAGGGATCTTTCTTGGGACTGGTGCTGCCTAACCCCTCTCAGCCTCAGCAGCACTTACCCATCAGGCCATGGGCCAGGGGGCTGAGGCCTGAGCCATTGGCCACATAGAACCCCAGGTGGGGCAGTTGCAGGGTGCTGGGGTGTCTGTAGCGGTGCCGGAGGATGAGGAACTCAAGGTGGGGCCCAAGGTGGAGGGTGAGGCGAGTTGCAGCAGCCACACGGAGCTGCAGTCGGGGCCTCTTCAGCAGGGCAGGTTGGTCCCATGACAGGCGCAAGGTACTCTCTCCCTGCACAGATATGGAACTGCGGCTGATGGTGATAGTGTACGCCCAAGGTTTGTCTGTAGTGACTGTGATGATCTGGAAGTAGGTACGGATCTGATCCTCGTGGTTTGGCCTTGGTGGTGCTCCAAGCAGTTTCCCACTCACATGCAGCCCTGGAGAGAGGGGAGAACGGACTTGGAGCAGGGACTTTCACATGATCATTCACATGGTCACCCACAGCATGGGCAGATCAAGTAGAGCAGATTTGTGGCTAGAGGGCTAGATCTTGAGACAAAATGCTTCCACCATGATCCACCCAGCTGCTCCTTCGATGGGGGCATGTAGTATGTGTACACATACTCAACCCAGTGTGGCTGTTTGCATGTATATGTGTGTGCTTGTCTCTGAGTGTGTAAATGTGTATGTGTTTGGTTATGTTCATATGAGTATCTCTGAGCATATATCAGTGCATCTGCATGTTTGGAAAAGGTGGTTGTATGTTTTTGTGAGTGCCTTTGGATATGTTGGTGTTATATGTCTTGGTGCAATAGTGTATGTTGTGTGCCTCTGGTTGTGTGTTGGTATGCACTGATGTGTATCTGGGGTGTCAATGTGTGTACATCTGGATGTGTGTTGGAGTGTGTCTTGGTGGGTATGTGTGTTTCATATGATTAGAGTGGCAGAATATATGTGCTGCCTATCTGTGTTGAATTCCTGGGGACTGGGATAAATCTGGGGGTATCAGTGCTTGCACGTCTGTGTTGATATCCATGTTATTGAGTATGTCTGGGCATGTACTGTGTGTCAAGGTTCATATTTGTGGGTGTGAGAAGTGTCAAAATATGTGTCTTCAGGTGTATATAAGGAGTCTTTAAAAAGTTCGTGAAAATGAATATTATGAAAAAAACTATGCATGGATTTCAAATTCTTTGCTTGAAGACAAACTCATGCTAATTTGTTATAACATGTCTGAATTGGATCTGGTTTGCGGCACTAAGAAAGATAAGACAATGGCTTGAAAAGAGTCCCTATCAGAACAACGTGAATTCTGCTAAAAGAACAAACAACAAATTTATGGTGAATCTTAGGTGAAAGAATGTGCAATCACTGGTGCTTTATAAAAAGTTTATGGGGACAATGCCCCAAAGAAAGCAGCAGTTTACTAACGAATAACTCATTTTAAGAAGGGATGAGAAAACGTTGAAGACAAAGCTTGCAGTGGCAGACCATCCACATTAATTTGCAGAGAAAAAGCTAAGCTTATTCATGGCCTAACTGAAGAGGGCCAATGATTAACAACACAAACAATAACCAACACCACAGACATCTCAACTGGTTCAGCTTACACAATTCTGATTAAAAAATGGAACAAACTTTCCACTTGATGGGTGCCAAAAATGTTGAACCCGGATCAGCTGCAGACAAGAGCAGAGCTTTCAATGGAAATTTTAAAGAAGTGGGATCAAGATTCTGAAGCATTTCCTCAGAGTTGTTACGGGAGATGAAACATGGTTTTACTTACATGATCCTGAAGTCAAAGCACAATCAAAGCAATGGCTGTCAAAAGGTAAAAGCAGTCTGGTCAAAGCAAAAGCAGACCAGTAAAGAGCAAAGATCATGACATTTTTGGGGGATGTTCAAGGCATTTTGCCATTGACTTTGGAAGGACCAAAGGATGATAACAAATGATTACTATGAGAGTCTTTTGAGAAAGTTAGTCAAAGTTTTAGCAAAAAAAAGGGCCAGGAAATCTTTACCAGAGATTCCTTCTCTGTCATGATAATGCTCTTACTCATTTCTCTCATCAAATAAGAGCAATTTTATGAGGGTTTCTTTGGGAAATAATTACAGTCTTGATTTAGCTCATTCATACTTTCTTTTGTTTCTTAATTTAAAAAAATCTTTAAAGGGTACCCATTTTCCTCTTGTTAATAATGTAAAAAAAGACTGCATTGACATGGCTAAATTCCCAGGACCCGCGGTTCTTTAGAGATGGACTCAATGGCTGGTATCATTGCTTAGAAATGTGTCTGGAACTTGATAGAGCTTATGTTGAAATATTTTTTATTTTCATTTTTAATTCCATTTTCCCACAAACTTTTTGAAGTCTCCTTGTATTTATGTAAGTTTACTGTTGCCCTTGTGTGTGTGTGTGTGTGTGTGTGTGTGTGTGTGTGTATCTGTGAGGGTCTTGGTGTTTGCCCGAGTATATTTGTGTGCTACTATATGTTAGTGAGGTGCACTATGTCTGGAGTATTTGCCCACAAATGTTTGGGGGTGACTATATCTGGCTGTGGTGTTGTATGAGGATGGAGTACTTGGGGCTCTCACCTGCCTTTGAATCCTCTATGAGCTGCAGTAGGTCCCCTGGACGCCCGTCCAGTGTGAAGCAGATTCTGTCTTCTGAGTGTGGGATGTGGATCATAAAGTGAGGGTCCCCATCCACTGCAAGGGAGGAGATACAACTTTAAAGTTATGACCCTGGAAGGAATGGGATGGAGGAGAGGGCAAGGGAAAAGGCCATGTCTATTTTCCCAGTGAGAGTCCAGCCCCAGTCCCAGTGCACAAGCTGTCCTGTACACAAGCACGAGGGTCATGGGAGTGGCTGGCTTACCTGAGGAAGAGAAGGTGAAGATGCTTGGCAATGTGCCTGCAAAGGAGAGAGGGACTGTGTTGTTGAGGGATTGATCTATCACATTCCTAGGAGCTCTGGGACCTCTTCCCAGATAAGGGTCAAATTCCTGGGTTCAGCATTAAGGCTTTACTGAAATCTATCCCTGGCCCAGTCTTTTCTTTATGCTCCAGCCCAACCAAACTATTCTTATGAGTATCCTGCTTTCTCTTCCTTGTGATCCTTTGCTCCTATTTTTCCTGCCACCCATAATGTTTTTCTTTCCCTTAAATACAAAGGACTGATTCGCAGTTACCATTTAAGGCCAGTTCAGATACTATTTTTTCTTACTCTCTGCCTGTGGTAAGTAGAATTCCAAGATGATCCCCAAGATCCCTTGGTGTACACGACCTTGTAAAATCCCCAGAGCTGTGAATATGATATCATTCCCAGAAATAGGTTATGATATATGGCCCTGTTGACCTCAAGAAAGAGAGACTATCAAAGTGGGCTGGGACCTCTAGACACAGATCAAATGAACCCTTTAAATCTGGATCTAGAGGTCAGAGACAGAGGATTCAGAAAGATTTGAGGTGTGAGAAGGGTTTGACAGGAGGGGGATGCTCCATGGTTGTCTTTGAAGATGGAGGGATACCAAATGGCAAGAGATGCAGGATACCTCTAGGTTCTGAGAGTGGCCTCAGGTGGCCTCTAGTATCTGAGAGCAAGCCCCAACCAACAGCCACCAAGGAAACAGGGACCTCAGTCCCAGAAACTTAAAGAACTGAATTCTGCCAGCAAGGTGAATATGAATGTATGGAAGAAGTCAAGTTTGACAGACACCTTGATTTCAGCCCCTGAGCAGAGAATACAACTAATCTGTGTCTAGGCCTCTGACCCACTGAACTGTGAGATAATTAATGGGTATTGTTTTAAGCTGTTAAATTTGTGGTAATTTGTTACACAGCAATAGAACTAATACATTGTTCTGCCTCCTCCCTGCTCCCATAATGTCATTGAGAATAGTAGCTGAATGAAAATGAATATCTAGGGGATCTTTTCCAGGGGAGCTCCTTGCTCACCTTCTGCTAGTCCCACAGAACTTCCCTGAGAGTCCATGTTTCCTCCAGGTCTCCCCAGGATCTGCTCAGAATCACCATCCCAATGTGGACTTCCTGCCAAGCACAAGAGAAATAAGAGAATCCTTCACACTCCTAGGGCAGAGATGCTCTGGGCCCACCAACAAGCTGAACTTCTTTCTGACCAGAAGAACCTTCACTGGCTTCCCAGACTAATCTGATCATCTCCAGAACTGGGACTTATGCTCTGCACAATCTCTTAGTCTTTAAAGCTAAGATATGCTTAAAGTTCTTCCTCATAGCATTTGTATATTACTCATATCATTTGTTCAGTCATTTCTTTTAGCACTACTTAGACGCCAGGGATATGGTAGTGAAAAAGACAGACATGGTTGACCTAGTGAAGCTCATAATTTACTGGGAGTGGGAGACATGAATGAAGTCATAATTAAAAATTGGTGATAAATGATATCAGAAAATGTAGTGGCATGACTGAGGGAAGAAGTTGCAGAGACTTGAAGTAGCTTTCCTGTTGAGAGTGGGTAAGGAGTTCTGAGCTGGGAGCTAAAGCATGAGCTGGAGTTTGAGGGACAAATGGAAGGGATGGGGGTGACAGGAAGAAGCAGGGCAAGGCAGGGTGAAGCAGATTAGGTGATTATCAAGCAGAGGAAGAAGCTTGAAAGAAGTCCCTGAGTGAAGGTGAAGGAGGGTACCCATTAAAGGAGCAGAGTAAGACCAGTAGGCCTGGAGTTCAAAGAGTGGATGGGAGAGTGGAAGAAGGTGAGGTCATAGAGGAAAAGGGATATGGGACAGATCATGTAGGGCCTTGGAGGCCATGAAGAGGACTATGGACCCCTTTGTAAGTGTGATGAAAAATCCTTGAGGGATATTGAGTAAGGAAGGGGCATGAAGTGATTTTTTCTTTAAAAGATCTCTTTGGCTGTTGGGAAAGGTCGGTCAGTAACAGGACTGGAGAGGGAGACCAGAGAGGAGACTGGAACGGTTTTCTATGTGAGATACACTGGTGGTCTGCCCTAAGATAGTGGCACTTGTGATGGTGAGAAGTGGATGGATTTGGAAAATATGTTAGAACTAACATTGTCAGAAATTGAGAATAGAAGGTACATGGGAGGTGGTGGTGTGGGAGAGAGGTGTGTCAAAGATGTCATGCCCAAATATGCATCCTGGTGGCTTACTGGCACCCTCAACTGATCTTAATTCATCTCAGGAAATGTCACTCCTTCTCTTGGGAAGGCAGAGTAGTGGAGTGGTGAATTACATTGATTCTGGGATCAGATTGTATGAGTTTATAACTCTGACTACCTGTGTGATATTGAACAAGTGCTTCATCTCTCTATGTGTCATTTTCCCCATGTGTAAAATGTAGCTATGAACACTTTCTTGTGAGGATTAAATGAGAGACTACAAGTACAATATGTAGAGCAAAACCTGCACATAGGAAGAGCTCACAAATGTTAACTGTTATTATTTCAAAGTCTTTGGGAAACTTAAAGATAATTTTCATAATCTTTCCCAATTTTTCCACCTCTCTCATTAAGCAAGGCAATTTTCAGAGCACAGAAAAGTCAATGAGACCTACCTTATCCACTGATGCTCCAATTTATATGACTCCACCCCTCCCCTGCTTGGGAAGCATCAGCAATTCTCTTCTCCAACAAAACAAATGTCAAATCTATAGCTTGGTCACTTTGTTTCTGTTCAGCCTTCCCAGCATTAACATCCCGCCTCTCACAAACCTTTTAATTCAGTGCCTATGTATCAAGGCCCAGAGAAGTTAATTAACTGGTCCAAAGTTCCAAAGCAAGCAAGCCTGCGGCTGTCCTATCACCAGAGTCTGTGCAAGTCTTGTAGACTCCCAGTTCTGGTGCTGTTCATTCATACCATCCCCTAATGACCTGACCTCTTGCCCATGGCACTCACCATCTTTGTCTGGAGTGAGGAAGGTATAGAAGGCTGGTGAGTTCAAGGACTCCACAAACTCGGACTCCACCTTTGACTCAGACAGCAGTTTTAGCTCCCCAGGGAGAAGGAGGAGACTGATGGCCTCAGGGAGGTTGCTGGAAGGCAGCAAGATTGGCAGGTTTGGAGGGCTGCCTTCTGGCGTAGGCCTGGAGCTGTTGGGTAAACTCATTGTTGGGACTTCTGGCCCAGATGACCCCAGAATTTGCCTGGTGCTCTGAGGCCCCAGCAGCTGGTCATGCTGATTCCAGGGCCTTCCAGGAGGCAGGGTGGGGGTAAAAGGAGTGGTGGGGAGAGGTTCTCCAAGGACAGAGGTGGTCGTGGCACTGCTAGAACCTGTGGAACTTGGGTACGGGGATATACTTAGGCTCTGAGGAGGTGGGGGCCCGGGTCTGGCAGGTCTAGGAGACTGCGGAATTTCGTGTGTATGGGGCATTGAGATCCCCGTCTTAGAAAGTGATAGACTTGTGGAAGTTTGCTGTAGTGGGGCACTAGATTTAAGGGGTGATAAGATTTTAGGGATCTTGGGTAAAAGGATCCCAGGTGTGGGGTGTGCCTGGTTGTTTGGGGTCTTGGGAGCAGGAGCCCTAGGTCTGGTGCGTGGTGGGTTTTGGCGAATCTGAAGTGTGGAGACTCTAGGTCTGGGCTGTGGCAGGCCTTTGGGTGACTGTGGTGTGAATACCTCAGGTTGGGGGTGTGGTGAAGCACCAGGTTTAGAATGCAGTGGAGTAACATGTTTTACCATGCTAGATTTGGAGGGGGCTGGGATGCCGAGATTCAGAGGTGGGACCTGCGTCTTGGAATTTGTGGGCAGTACGATATCAGGCTTCTGGTGTGCCGAAGCGCTGGGCTTCAGAGGCAACAGAGCACCAGAGTTTGAGGGCACAAAGACAGCAGGCTTCGTCCTGAGAGTTGGTTGGGTCAAGGTATCAGAATCCTGTTGGGCTGGAGTTTGGGGCTTCGGGTGTTCTGGGCTTGATGGGGTACTCGGGTTCTGTCCCAATGGCTCCAACTCCTTGGAACTGGGCATCTTGGCAGAGACAGTAGCAGTTGAGGATAAGTAGAGCTTTGGTTTCACAGGCATTGATTTGGGGGAGACCTTGGGCACCAAGACAGGCTGGGCTGTGCCCGCCCCTAGTCCATGACTGCTGCTGGGTGAAGGCATGATGGCATCTAGCTCGGCTGTGGTGGGGGTCTGCCTCCTGGCCTCCTCATTGGCCTCCTTGGGCTGCACCATGACTAGTGAAGTCAGAGGTGTGACAAAGTTGTACTCAAGGGACAGGTTGAGGACGGTGGCAGCCAGCAGGCGCCGAGTGGTGGTGTCGCGGGCTTGGAAGCGTGCATCCAGCAGCTGCCCGATGGTGACATAGGCCCAGAGGCGGCGGATGAAGCGGGCCACAACGGGAACTGGCTCCCCCGGGCAACCAAAGGCCTTCTGGCTGCTGTTGGTAGCCTTTTCACTGTGGTGGGCCATGAGAAGCTGACCTTTGGGGCCACGGGCTGCCAAATGGATGCCCAGCTCCTGTTCACCTGGCTGCACCTGGCCTGCCACCACCAGCTCTGAGCCACCAAAGTAGTTAGGAAAAAGGGTCTGAGGGGAGGCTCCAACCAAGCCTCCCAAGTAGTCCAGATGCACATCTGCCAGCAGAGGCATGGAGATGTCCTCATAGAGGCCCTCCAGCTGGAGGGCCGCGTCGGTGTGCTCGTATATACGCCGGGCATCTCCCCGGTTCTCCAGAGACAGGCGACGTAGCAGTGGGAAGTCAGCATCATCCCCAAAGGCCAAGCTGAAAAGGGACACCCTGTGGCCTAGTGCCTGACGGACATTGGAGAGGATCACACTGGGGGTCGTCACGCCGGCTGTGGGCTCCCCATCTGTCAGGAAGATGATAAGAGGGATCCTCCCCACACTGGGGCTCCTCCCAGGCTCCTGGTTGCTATGGTTCAGCACCGAAGCAGCTGCCAGCAGAGCTGCATTGATGTTGGTCCCTAATTGGAGAGCAGACTGTGAGACCCTCTTTTCTGGTAACCTCTACTCCCGTCGCAGGGCACACTGGGCACCTCACCAACCTCCCAAGCTCAGTCACATCCCTTCATCTTTGCTCAGGCTGTGTCTGCTGCTTCTCCTTTCCAACTCCCCTGCCTCCGCCCCAACTCCCCGAGTTCGGACAGACGGGTCCACGTATCCTTGGCTTTTATCACTCCCCGTCTTATACTGTTCTTTGCCTGTTTCCTGGGGGGATGTCTCATCCCCAAGGATAGCAGCCCCACCTTCTTGCTACAGGAGAAGAAAGGGCTGAGTTGACAGGTGGTGGTGTGTGGGTGGGGGGACTTCAGTCATTGCCTGAGAGATCGTTGGTCAAAAACTAGAATCAAGGCAACAGCTTATTCAAATGCCTGGAAATAAATATCTAGAGTATTGACTTAAAGAAAGTTGTAGTAAAGGGTAGGATGCTGAGGTCAAAGAAACATGTGCCTCGAGTTACATGGACAATCAGCTGTTCTCTTCCCACGAGGAAAGGGAGATGGGAGGAGAGCACAGAAGATCAAGGGACAGATTTGTGTAAAATGCAGTCGTGATAGTTCAGACACTGCGAGAGATGAAGAGGATGGGGAAACGAAGAGACCATTTCAAGAATTTCTCACATCACCAAGCCTGCCTATTTGGGTGGGTAGGTCCAACACTTACAGCCATCAGCTTCCATGCGCCCCAGGTAGTCCTTGGCACTGTGGACATTCTGGACGGTGGCCTGGATTGAGCCTCCAGCTTCCCAGACACTAACAGTATCAGAAAAGGAGATGATGTTGAAGTAGTCGCTGGCTCGCAGGTCACTGAGGATCACATTCATGGCCTTTTTAGTCTGCGGGATATGGATGAAACGGAGGGGATGGGACAAGACTTGGGGTCAAGGAGCTTGAAGGGTTCTTTCTTTACAAAGCACTAAGGTCTAAGTGTTGTATGGTTTTAAAATCCTCGGACTCAGCACTCTGTGAATCTAGAATTCTCAGGTGAAAATGCACTGTGGCCGGGCTTGGTGGCTCAGCCTGTAATTCCAAGAATTTGGGAGGCTGAGGTGAGTGGATTGCCTGAGCCCGCGGGTTCGAGACCCGCCTGG